GGTATAATATATATAAAAAAACCCTTTGTAATATGCTCCTAAATTTTTTTTCATTTTTCTTGAGATCTTTTTATACTCTAAATTAAAGTATTTAAGACATTTTACACAACCTCCAAACAAGTAATGCGCACTTTAAATATCATCAAATGTTAGAAGAAAAAAAAATGAAAAGAAAAAAAAGGAACAAGTGACAACCAAATAGGCTCAAGTACAAACGTGTAACAAATATTTTTTTGGAACTATTACAAAAAAAAAAACCTCTACACAAGGCAAGGGGGACAAGGTGCTCCTGCCTAGGGCCAAATAGGCCCAACGCCCAAGTCTAGGCGTGTAACCGTTAGGGATGAAGACTGAAGGGATTTGTAACGTGCAATTTCTCTGAGGAATACTTCCAAGCTAAAAGTACGTAGTACTGTATACTTAGTACTTGTTATAACAACATAGCTAACTGTCACGAGGTCAAACTAGTTTCGATGGCACTTGTCTCGGAGGCGGAATCTAGCTCGATCTCGTGCGGCACTTAGCTCGGAATTAACCCCGTTAAACCCGAACCAAGTCAGCCTTCCCAACACTTGGCGTGGCCCCTTAACTGGGCTTGAGGTTAGCAACAAGTAAATGAAGGTAGGAAGTTGGGAGAAGAAGAGAATTTATTAAGATTGCAAGAGAGTGTACAAGAGCATGAGTACAAAGCCCCTCTCTGCACTCACTCACCTAGCAGCTCACTCTCTCAAGGCTCCTCCTCTATCTCTATCTGCCTCTTCTACTCAGGCCACCCCTATTTATAGAAGAGGTTAAGCCCAAGAGCCCTCTACAGGTAAGCCTCTAGAACACTCCACACAAATCCCCTCACATGTACAATTGCTAGAACATTCTCCATTCTCCCTCCTAAGCCTACATTATTCTAGAATCTCCTATTCTAGAATTATCTACAAGGCCCTAGGAGAAACCCCAAGTTGGGCTTGGCCCATTAAGCTCATTCCAGACCCCTATCTGGTATTGTTCCCGTCCTTATCCAGACCACTGTTCTGATCCTTATCCAGACCTCCCAGGCTGCTTTTGGAATTTTCTAGGGCACTCCCATCTATGCTCGCACGCCTGTGTCTCAACTGTGACCCCGTGCCACGGCCTTGGCCTGGACGCTGCCAAGTGATGCCAGGCTCGCCTTTGGGGCATTCCATGTCGCGCTCGCGCCCGCGCCCGTGCTTGCGCTAACGCACCCCAACGCCTCGAGCCATACCGCGCCCATGCGTGCCAGCGCCTCGACCTAGCTTGCCCGTGCGTGCACCCATGTCTCGGACCAGGACACTCTCGCGCGCCCACGCATATCGCCCCCGACTGCTTCTGCACGCTCCCATGCATCCTGTCCGTAACTTCACGCCACGGCCCCGATATCGACGCCTCCGCTAGCAAGGCCCGCTGCATCTTGCGCGATCCACCTTGTGCCTGCATCCTCGTATACGTAAGCGTCGTAGTCGCAACCCCGTGTCGCAACACCAACACCCGCATCCCGCATGCCTGCATGCCCGCGTCCACGCTTCCGCTCGCGCTTCCACTTTCGCGCATGCTCGTGCTCGCGCCTACCCTCATGTCCGCGCTCGCACTTCGCGACGTCGCATTGCATGCCTTCTGGACGCTGGATACACCCCCTGTGTGCCCATGGCTGCAGCTCCGTGCCACGATACCCGTGACTTCGCCCCCGAACTCGCGTGCCATGACATAACGCTGTATTGTAAATTATGAGAATTAGACTTGACAAAAATTCATCTTATTCCTCAACTTGATCCTAATTTGACCCATAAAAATAAATTAGGGTCTACATATCTAAACCCGTAATCCATAAATAACCCGTATTATCAACCCATATATATCATGAGTCGAGTTAAGATCAAC